TCTTAGCCCCTTAGATAGTTCTTTTTTTCTAGTCATAGAGATATTTAGGAAGCAAGTGGGATTCTTGTTCGTCATTTTGCTTTATGCATCATCAACCTGGATCAGTCTAATAATTCACTTTCTCTATTCCTAAACTTTTGCAGAAAGAACTGTTCTTCTGGAGAAAAGATAAATTATATGGATTGGTGCCACCAACAGCCATAGTCTCTAACCTCAGAATTACATCAGACCTTCTGAGTAATAGTAGTAGTAGCAGCGGCAGCCACAGCCGCAACAGAAGCAGCAAAAGATAATTACCGAGTACCAGCTATGTGTCAGGCACTTTGCACATATTACCTCATTTAGTCTTTCCCACAACTTACTGGTATTGTTTGGTGAGTACAGTCCCTCAAGTAGATGGCACAGCCAAAATACAATTCCAGGTTCATCTACCTCCCGAGACTCTGTCCTCCATGCAGGACTTCTCTGTAGGCTTACCTCATTTAGTCTTTCCCACAACTTACTGGTATTGTTTGGTGAGTACAGTCCCTCAAGTAGATGGCACAGCCAAAATGCAATTCCAGGTTCATCTACCTCCCGAGACTCTGTCCTCCATGCAGGACTTCTCTGTAGGCTTCCTCTGCCCCTTTTCTTAGAGGCAATTCCAGATCCTCACTATTTTCCTTGAGCTTCTACCTCATCGCCACCCCAGCCTTCTAGCTCATCACTCCTGCTTCAAAAGGAAGTGAGAAGACATTAGGCCTCTCTTACCTAGAAACTCATGTCTGTATGTCCTTTTCCTTATTCTTTCCTCCTCAGAGGAAGGACCACCCCACCCTTCAACATTGCTCTGAATCCCGGGGCCATCCTCCCATGTGTTTTGCCACTCTCCTCAATCTTGAATCACATCCTTTCTGCTGCCATTTTAACATGTAAATGTGCTTAAATTCCTCATCCACACCTTTTCTAGCTAGCAACCTAACAGTGTGTTTACAGAGTATGAATCTTGGGTCTAAATCCTACCCACTCACTAGATGAATGATCCTGAGCAAGTTTTACTTAACTGTGCCTCAGTTACTTTTGGGAGGATAATTGCTCCTATGTGATTGTGAAGATAACAATGCATACAGAGCCTTAGTACAGTGCCTGGCACATAGCATTCAATAAATGTTAGCAATTCCTGTCATTTTTTAGTAACAGTTATGTTGTCGTCATCATCATGTTCAATCTCATTCCTTTTACAGCCAGGCTTGTGGAAAAAGTCAAGAATAGAACACTTTCAATTCCCTATCTCCCATTTCCTTCTTAACCCACAGTAATCTGGTGCCCTGTTTCACTGAAATTACCATAAGTCACTAATGACTGCGAAATTCAGAAGAGACCGTGTGTCTGACTGGATCCAACTTGACATTCTTTACTACCTACTTCTTTTTTTTTTTTTTTTTTTTTTTTTTTTTTC